CACTGGATCAATAGAGTAAAAGCATAATGACTTTGCCGGCTTTATTTTAGTAGGTTATCTGATACTATGTGCTTTTTTAGTCTTCGTCCGTATAGGTGCCTCCCAGGAGGCAGAGATGATATCTCTTCAGGAAACCCATTTCTCCACAAGCCCAAATAAAAAGCCAGCCAGGACAAAGGATGTGGACCGGAGCTGGTCATTCTTCAAGAGGTTTTCCAACAAATGATAGCTCAGCCTAATTTGTATCATAATAATTTCCTTTGCTACCAGAAGCTAAGGTGTCCCCGCCTTTCACCCGTAGCTCCCAGCTGTGTCGGCTTTTAGGATTGTGTTCTGTAATAGGGCAGCCTGTCCACGGTTCTCCACTGAGGGCCTGCCGCACATTGCCCACAGCTCGGACACAGATTTTAAAGCTCAGGTGCAGAAATTCGGGCTGCGTTATCGAACGGGAGGGAAGAAAGAGATTCTTTCCACCCCCCAACACACACCCTGGTTTTCTCAAGTTTATGACATTGTGGGGACACCATATATTTCCCTTCCTCGTTTCTGAAAGCTTCCTCTCCTTCCTTCTTTCTCTCCCTCCTGATTTCTTCGAGGGCTAATTTCAAATGATTAAGAAACCCCCAAAGATGAATTTTGGAGCTGCCCGATATGACCAAGAATAATTACCTACAGATCCTAACTCCTCGGGCTTTTAAACTTGATCTGGTGTCAGAGAGCCTGCATTCATGGGCCTTCTTCCAAATCAGACTTTGACATCCACCGTGGCAGTGGTCCCCAAGAAAGCCGGTCAGATGACTTCTCATCAACAATTAAAAAAGAAAATGTTTCCCAAGAAGTATCAACAGTATCTTTGTATGCCTTAACCTCGAGCTGTGACCATGGTCATTGCCTGGGCTCTCATTCGGTATGTGGGTAGACTGAGGCAACCAGGAAATGGACTCTTTGAAACCAGTAAATTGAGTATCGAAAATGCACCACTGCTGGACGAGGTCCAGTGTGGCTGTGAAAACGATGTAGAAAGTATGGGTTGCTCTGAGCTCGATTCTCAGCTCTGATGGTAAGTGCTGTGTGACCGTGAACAGGTCCTTTTACCTGGGCATCCTCATTCATTGAAAGGGAAGAGGTGGGTGGACAGGGCTTTGAGGTGCTAACGTTTCCTGATTTCTGGTTGCATGTCCCATAGGATGAAGGGCATGCGCTGAAACATACTTACAATTTGCGACTTATCTGTGCAATGGAATAAAGTACTTCTTTCATGATGTTATAATTTGCAAAAGGGGAAAACTTTTATTGGGCAAACTGTGTATGAGTCGCCAATAAAACATAGCTCTTGAAAGCCTTATCTGCCGAATCATCATCTTTCATGGCTTTCCCACGTGGAAAATGTTACCCTCCTTTCCTTGTCTCAAAGACTCGAGATGATGGATGGAGAGGGTCGTTTTCTGAAGTTGCATTTTTAGCCCTAGTGCTTCGGTCTTTCAAGCTGCTATTTCCAAAACATTAAGCATAACGTGTTGAATTTGGAGGAGCTCCCTTGCCTCTTCAATGTTTATGAGCTAGACATTCTCCTCATTGGTTCTGCTTCGGAAACCGAATTATTTTTATCCACCTAAAGATGAGAATTCAGCACGCAGGTCCTAGAATAAATACATTCAAATGAGTCCATTTTGTTTTCAATAAAATCTTACTGTTCCCTCCTTATATTCAACTCCTGGAAAACGTTCAACAACAAAATTAAATATGGATTCCTTTACTCCCTATTTTCAGGATATTTCTAAATTAGTGTTTCTTAACTAGGGGTTTGTGCATTGTGTCCTGAACAATAAAATGGTTTTGAGTCCTCGTAATGGGGTTTAAAAGACTTCACATGTATGTCTCTACCTGTCACTTTTTTTTTTTTGTACTTAGGAAGAAATTTCGGGGTTTTTAACCTATTTTCAAAGGAGATCATGACTCCCAACAGGAGAGGACTCTCTGCTGAGGCAATAATTCATACACTTGACTTTCTGACAGCATATTGAGTTCTTTTCGTCCACTTCCTTAGCAGATGGGAGCTGGGTTACTGGAAATGCACTAAGGTTTTCATTTGAACTAGTGAGCACCTAGGTTTAAAAAAATACCCACATTTCCGAATGCAAGCTGGTGCAACCCCTCTGGAAAACTGTATGGAGGTTCCTCAAACAGTTGAAAATAGAGCTACCGTACGATCCAGTCATTGCACTACTGGGTATTTACCACAAAGATACAAATGTAGGGATCCGAAGGGGTACGTGCACCCCAATGTTTATAGCAGCAATGTCCACAATAGCCAAACTGTGGAAAGAGCCAAGAGGTCGGTCCATCGACAGATGAATGGATAAAGAAGAGGTGGTATATATACACAATGGAATATTATGCAGCCATCAAAAGGAATGAGATCTTGCCATTTGCAACGACGTGGATGGAACTGGAGGGTGTTATGCTGAGCGAAATAAGTCAATCAGAGAAAGACATGTATCATATGACCTCACTGATATAAGGAATTCTTAATCTCAGGAAACCAACTGAGGGTTGGAGTGGTGGGGGGTGGGAAGGATGGGGTGGCTGGGTGATAGACCTTGGGGAGGGTATGTGCTATGGTGAGCGCTGTGAATTGTGCAAGACTGTTGGATCACAGGTCTGTACTTCTGAAACAAATAATGCAACATATGTTAAGAAAGAAGCAGATAGCAGGAGGGGAAGAACGAAGGGGAGTAAGTCGGAGGGGGAGACGAACCATGAGAGATGATGGACTCTGAGAAACAAACGGAGGGTTCTAGAGGGGAGGGGAGTGGAGGGATGGGTTAGCCCGGTGATGGGTATTAAAGAGGGCACGTTCTGCGTGGGGCACTGGGTGTTATGCACAAACAATGAATCATGGAACACTACATCCAAAACTAATGATGTAATGTATGGTGATTAACATAATAAAAAAAACCTCACATTTCCAAACTGTCCACTTTGTGGATCAGAATTGCTCCCAGTCTGGGGAGATGGGGAAATTCTGTGTCCTCGGGACTGAGGATCTCTTTGTGCCCCATTTGGTACAAAGTTAACGTGCCGCATTTATTGGTCTCAGGAAAACCCTTTTGTAAAATAACTGTGTACAAGATTGTGAATATCCTTTTTAAAATTGCATGTCTTTTGGGAAGATGTTTATGTTTCTTCTTTCTCTCATTACCAAGCAAAAAAATGCTACAAACCCTCTTTTGCTCTACAACTGAGCTATCAAACCAGACCATTTAAGACATGCTTGTTTTCCCTTTTCTTCCTTTCTATTTACCAGTTTTGAAATTTGACTGAAGTTAAGGGGCGCCTGGGTGGCTCAGTCGGTTAAGCGTCTGCCTTCGGCTTGGGTCATGGTCTCGGGGTTCTGGGATCGAGCCCCACGTCAGGCTCTCTGCTCCGCGGGGAGTCTGCTTCTGCCTCACCCTCTCTGTGCTCTCTTTCTCCCTCTCTCAAATAAATAAATAAAATTTAAAAAAAATTCAACTGAAGTTAAGTGTATAAAATGTCTCCAAGAAGACTATTGGCAGAAATCGAGTAACTGCAAAAAGATTTAATGAAATAATCTGTCCTGTATAAAGTCATGCGATTTATAATCTATGCCAAGAAGCTTCCTCTTTCTTTTTCCACTATCCACAAAATTAATCTTGTTAATCTAGCCAAATAGTCATTTTGGACTGTATTTTTAAAAATGGATTCCACTGTGACCTCGGCCCCAGCAACTTCTTGCTAGACAGTCTCCAAAGACAAGGGAAGCCAGGGCAAAAATGAACTATTGGAATTTCATCAAGATAAAAAGCTTTTGCACAGCAGAGGAAACAGCCAACAAAACCAAAAGACGACCGACAGAATGGGAGAAGGTATTTGTAAATGACATATCAGACAAAGGGCTAGTATCCAAAATCTATGAAGAACTTATCAAACTCAACACCCAAAGAACAAATAATCCAATCAAGAAATGGGCAGAAGACAGGAATAGACATTTCTGCAAAGAAGACATCCAAATGGCCAACAGACACATGAAAAAGTGCTCAACATCGCTCGGCATCAGGGAAATCCAAATCCAAACCTCAATGAGATACCACCTCACACCAGTCAGAATGGCTAAAATTACAAGACAGGAAAAAACAAATGTTGGTGAGGATGTGGAGAAAGGAGAACCCTCCTACACTGTTGGGGGGAATTCAAGCTGGTGCAGCCACTCTGGAAAACAGTGTGGTGGAGGTTCCTCAAACAATTGAAAATAGAGCTACCCTAAGACCTAACAATTGCACTACTGGGTATTTATCCCACAGATACAGCTGTAGTGATCCGAAGGGGCATGTGCACCTCAATGTTCATAGCAGCAATGTCCACAATAGCTAAACTATGGGTAGAGCCCAGAAGTCCACCAGCAGATGATGGATAAAGAAGATGTGGGAGATATATACAATGGAATATTACTCAGCCATCAAAAGGAATGAAATCTTGCCATTTGCAATGAGTGGATGGAACTAGAGGGTATTATGCTAAGCAAAATAAGCCAATCAGAGCAAGACAATTATCATATGATTTCAGTCGTATATGGAATTTAAGAAACAAAACACAGGATCGTAAGGGAAGGGAGGGACAACTGAACGGGAAGAAATCAGAGAGGAACACAAACCATAAGAAACTCTTAATCATAGGAAACAAACTGAGGATTGCTGGAGGGGAGGTGGGTGGGGGATGGGGTAGCTGGGGGATGGGCATTAAGGAGGAGGGCACGGGATGTAATGAGCACTGGGTATTATATAAGACTGATGAATCACTGACCTCTACCTCTGAAACCAATAATTCATTATATATTAATCAACTGAATGTAAATAAAAAATAATAATAGATAAAAAAATAGATTCCAAATGCGTAATGGGATCCACATAAAACAATCAAGGTCATCCTGTAGAAACGATGTTGTAGAAACTTCATGTCCACTTAATTCATGTCTTTTCCAGTCACCTCCTGAGTGTCCGGCACCCGGGGAAGGACTGAGGAAGTGATGTGGGGTGCCTGATTCTGTCACCTGTTCACTTGCATTTGTGGCTGCGATTCTCACCGACAGAATAAGGAACCGATGTGTGGAGTGAACAGGTCAGTTGTAAAGTAGACCCTGATTCAATCTACAGGAAGTTGGAAGAGGGCTGATCAGAGGCGCTGAAGCAGTTGAAGGCAGAATTCTAAAAATATACTTGGAGGAGGCCCAGGAGGTGGAGAAAGCACTAGAAGTTGGGGCAACAGCATAGCAAAGGCTTTCCCAGGAACAGTGAGAACCTACTGGAAGGAAGCGGATGAGCTGGGAAGAGTGTGGGAGATGCCGCATGGGGGCATAAACCCGGGCTGGTGGTGACAAGGGTCAAGTCTAGTCCTTACTGATACAATGGCTGCTGGAGGTGGGGTGGGTGCAGACGCAGACCCCTGGGAAGAGCGAGGAGTCCCCTCACTTCAGGCACCTCCAGGGTCCAGCAGTGCCTGGGGCGGGAAGGGCGCCCTGAAGACTTGGGCACGTACAGTGGTAGCGGGAACGAGAGAGAGGATCAGGTGGTGAGGAAGGGAAGAGGGAGAAAGACAGAGAACGGAAGGGAAGACTTATTCCATTGGATAGCTACTCATAAGCCGGGCTTCATAGGCCAACCCAGCTTGGTGGCATTTCTGCTTCATGAAGCGCTTCAGTGGGGATGGTAGCCACCCATGTCATAAACCCAACTCCTCAGAGATACTTCGACCTCCCTAAACTCATTTCTTTCCTGGGACCAAGCGCTTCTCGACAAGGATGAACATCTCTACTCCTGCCTAATCAGGAGACCAATAAATATGAATTAACCAGAACTAAGTTCTTTTAATATAGTTTATGTAGGATGACCTTGATTTTTTTTCCATGTGGATTCCTTAACTGGGATCCCACTGTACACTTGGAGTGAGGGTATTCAAAAGGTTATGGCCCAACCACCTCACACCCATGAGGATGGTTATTATGCAAAAGGAAACAAAACCAAACCAACAAACAAAGAAACTCCAGGGAAAAAAAAGAGTTGGTGGGGATATGGAGAAATTACCCTTGTGTACTAGTGGCAGAGATGTAAGGTGATACCATCACTGTGGAAAATAGTATGGTGGCTCCTGAAAAAAAATTGAAAATTGAATTACCACACGATCCTGCAATTCCAGTTCTGGATATACACCCAGGAGAAGAGAAAGCAGAGTCTTGGAGAGGTATTTGTGCACCCACGATCACAGCAGCATTATTCACCCTAGGCAAAATGTGAAAGCGACCCAAATGTCCATCACCAGATAAATGGGCAAGCAAAATGTGATATATACATACAATGGAATATTATTCAGCCTCAAAAAGGAGGGAAATTCTCATGCATGCCACACCATGGAGGAACCTCCAGGACATACGAAGTCAAAGAAGCTAGTCACAAAACATACAAATACAGTAGAATTCTGCCTGTAGGAGGAATCTGAAGTAGTCAAAGTCATAGGCACAGAAAGCAGAAGGGGGCTTGTCAGGGTCTGTGGGCAAAGGGAATGAGGGCTTCTTATTTAACGGGGACAGAGTTTCAGTTTTGGGAGATGAAAAAGTTCTGGAGATGGATGGCGATGATGCTTGTAAAATGATGTGAATAATATAACTAATGCCACAGAACTGAACACACAAAAATGGTTAAGATGGTAAATTTTACGTCACGTATAATTGACCGCAATAAAAAACTTAAAAGAGGATGTGGTCCTAACTAACGACGTAGCATGAGGTCCCACCGAGCAGAAGGGCCCCCTCTGCAACCTCTCAGAGTCTGATCGCTGGACCCAGCAGCTAGCGAGTGCCCTATTAAGCACTTAATTATTTCTCTTTGATACTGGCTTTTTTTAAATTATCTTTTAATACAACTGTTTTACTGTCTCTGGTAATTACTCTGTCTCGATAACTCTGTTAAATCTAATGAGGCGTGGCAAGCTCTGCTCAACAAGGCAACACATCATTAGCTTCCTGCCTTTTTTGTCATCTTATCTCACTTAATTGCTGTATCACCAGCCAGACAGAAACCTGTCACTTGCCATTAGCCAAACAGTGTGAAATGACCTGCCGTCCGGGCAGTGAGTAGCGGTACTTAATAAACTTCTGGTCCTGCATTTTATCCCGCCCACAGTGTGGGTCGAGGGGACCCCTGGTAGAAATCAGCTTTCCACTTACCTAATAACAGGATCTTTAGATGGGGCCGTCTGCTTTCTCACCCCCTGCTTCCAGGAGATTCTCAGGTTTTGTCTCAAGAGCCCCTGGGAGAAGTGATGCAATGAACATTGGGTTGAGTCAAAAAATGTTGGGACTTTCTTGCTGAGCTGCTCACCATCTGTATGGCTATGGGCAAACCATTTCATCTCTCTGAACCTAATGCTCAGCCCAAACAGCATATGTATGAAGGTGTCTTGAAAGGTAAATGAATGAATTGTCATCTCCTTGGAATCTACTTTTAAAAAGTGATAGTGTTATAAGGGAGGGGTGGAAGAGTTAGGGTATAAATCAATAACAGAGTCGAGATGCTGTCAAAAATCTACTTCTTGGGGCACCTGGGTGGATCAGTCATTGAGCGTCTGCCTTCGGCTCAGGTCATGATCCCAGGGTCCTGGGATCGAGCCCCGCATCGGGCTCCCTGCTTCGCCTGCTTCTCCCTCTCCCACTCCCCCTGCTGGTGTTCCCTCTCTCGCTGTGTGTCCGTCAAATAAATAAAATCTTTTTTTTTTTTTAAATCTACTTCTTTAGGTCTTTAAGTCTTCCTTCTTCCCCACACTTTGTATAACTGCCACCAACTTTCTATTGCCTCGTTCCCAAATCATCTGGGGAATCCTGGGGGTTCATTTATTTCTTTGGCATCTACCTCTGTTCCAAACTGTGTGCACGGTGGCCCGTGAGGTAGGGATAGTCTCTGGCCTTGGGACACCGATCGGCTCAGTAAGTGTGTGCTCTGTGCAAGGCCACCCATAGCCACAGCTTCGTACAAACGGAAGGAACAGCAGAAAGCTCATCACTTTCCACTTCCTTCTTCCCACAGCCCAGAGCAGTGCCCGGTCAAGTTCAAAGTTCAAAATACGGACACCAGTGGCCCTTACACTGAGTGAGTGTAATGAGAAGGTGGACGGCCGTGACCGCACAGAGGTACCATTTTGAGGTTGTGCGTGTGGTGTGGTGGAAAGTGCAGAAGATTTGGTGCTAAAAAGACTGAGTTTTTGTTAACACTATGCCCTGGGCCTTTAGTAAAAGGGAGATGATAATGCCTCTCATAGGCTCTTATGAAGACACGGACTGAAGCATCTGAAAATTATAGACTGTAAATAGCTATGGGAAATATTTTTATTGATTGTGGTAATTTCTTTTAGCTGTGGACAAGATAATTACTTACAATCGAAAGGGATGTTTTTAAGTTAAGTATGCTCTATTAGAATAATTAAGATTTGGGGGATGCCTGGGTGACTCAGTTGGTTAAACGTCTGCCTTCAGCTCAGGTCATGATCCCAGGGTCCTGGGTTCGAGTCCTGCATCGGGCTTCTTGCTCAACGGGGAGCTTGCTTCTCCCTCGGCTTCTGCTCCCCCTGCTTGGGCTCTTTCTGTCTCTCTCTCTCTCTGGCAAATAAATAAATAAAATCTTTTTTTAAGCTTTTATTTATCTATTTGTTTGACAGAGAGAGAGAGAGAGAAGGAGAAAGCACAAGCAGGGGGAGTGGGAGAGGGAGAGGCAGGCTCCCCGCTGAGCAGGGAGCCCGATGTGGGGCTGGATCCCAGGACCCTGGGATCATCACCTGAATCGAAGGCAGACGCTTAATGACTGAGCCACCCAGGCGCCCTAAATAAATAAAAGCTTTAAAAAAAAAAAAGAACAATTAAGATTTCAAGAACTGTAATTTCGAGAACGACTTCTCCCTCTGCCATCTTTTTACACCCATATTCTTGCTTTGCTTCCAAGCTCATTCTAAATCTGATTCTGTCAATGAACTTCAGAGGCACGATCCCAAGGAAGGCTCTCCATCTTACCAGGATCACTGATACGATTTTGAAACGGGTCTCAACCACACATCTTTAATAGAAGGTCGGTTTTCACCCAAGCCCACAGATATCTTTCATTTTCGGAAGATACGACGTCAAGTCATTTGTCATTGGTCATGTGTTTCTTCCAGGTTGTCATGATGTGAGTTTGATCAGTTTACAATAAATATAACAAACTACATTTTCAGGCTTGCAAACCTGGAAAGACCATAGGATTGCTGTTACCTTCAAAAGCTCCGTCCTTAGCCCAAAGCAGAAAACCGCAGGGAGTGGGGTGTGAGTGGGCATGTGCGGGGGGGAGGCTCTGAAAAATGTCGACAGCAGTGGGTGTCCTTCTTGTTGCTGTGAGATCTGCTGGCTCCCGGGACGCTCCTGACCCCCAAGAAAAACCACACATCTTTGTCTTCCTCACTCCTCTTTACACTGTCCCAACTTTGCCAGCAAGGTGCTTCCTCCTCCTGGTCAGTTCCCATACCCTGGAAGTTTTTACCCCCAGAGAAAACAGGTGACAGGTGGGAGACTGCAGCGCCCATGAGTTAGTGCGCCCTGTTCAAAGGTAATGAAGATCTCCTGCTCGCTGCTCATAGCCTCACGTGGACACTTAGAGCTCCGCCTTGGGTTTGGATTTCCTCATATTCTTTTGCTCCGTCGTCCCCAGGGCACTCACCCCGAAAGACAGCTGGGCAGGTTAGGAGCGAAACCGAGGGCTGCTGGCTCAGGAAGCACCCTAGAATCCAGTCTGCCTTAGATTGTGAGCTACCTGAGGACAGGGACGGCATCGGCCTGGTCCTCCTTACGTCCACAGTGCTCGGTGCAGGACCTTGCACCAAGTGAACACTGGGCAGGTGTTTCTTGAGCCAACGGATGGATGATGAGTGCATGTCTGGCCCTGAGTCTCTCACCTTGACCATAAGTACCATCCCCACCCAGAGGTGTAGACTTGGATGCACCCCTGTAACCATATAGGGATGCTCTTCAGAACATTGAGTAATGAGGGACCCTCATCCCCCTAGGCTATGCGAAGTGAGCTACCATGGCAGCCTCCCCCTATCTAGTCCTTTGCATCCCTTACCAACTTCATAGGCTTATTCATTAATCCATTCTTTCTTTCAACGTATCAGCTGAGTACCTGCCATGTGCCAGGCAGGCACTGAAAAAAAAAATAATACATTTATACAACTCAAGAGTTCAAAATTAGATTAAAAAGATACAAACTGAGAAAGCTCCCCCACTGGTAGGCATTTTTACTTGTTTCTTATTTATAAACAAATATACATATATAAATCTTGCTTCATGTGTTAGGAAGCGCCCTATGTATCCTGTGTTGTACCTGGATCTCTCCATGTCTGTGCACAGATATCTTCAATATTTTTTATAGCTGTATAGTATTCCACTACCATAGTTTATTCAACTTGTTTTCTACTGATAGACATGGGTTGTTTCTAATTTTTTGTTATTGGGATACAAACAAAGTCACAGTGACTCCTTTTATGCACACATGTGTAGTCGAATCTGTAAGGATAAATGCCCACAAATGGGATTGCTGGATCGAAGGACAAAGGCATTTGCATTTGGGGGGGGTCAGATTCCCTTCAATAAGGGTTTATATTCTGCACCCCGTCCAGCAATGTATAAGGTCCAGGCACTGTCTCCCGGGAGTGAGGACACAGTGGGCACCAAGACGGACTGGAACTCAACTCTTCTGGAACGTGCATTCAGTATGGACAGCCTGACACCCCTCAAGTTCAAATGAAGAGATAATTGCAGTTGTGATTGAACGCAGTGAAGACAGTAAAGAAAGCTTGACACTGTGGTAGAGAGTCATGCAGAGTGGTAGCTGGGGGTGATCCAAGACACAAACGATAGGAAGGAGGCAGCCATGAGATCAGCCATGAGACCATGAACATTCCAGAACATCTGGGGAGACACGGCAAAGATGTTTAGGTTCCTCCTGGAAAACAGTCCCTGCCCCCAGAAACACCAGACTGGCCCCAGAAACAAGTGGATCAGCAAGGCACACGGCTTAGTTCTGAGATTCCTGTGACGCATTAATCAAGGGTCATTGAATGTAGCTGTTCTAAATTTCCAACCCAGAGCATGTCAAGGTAGGTGAGGTGGAGAAAAGGCAAGTTCACTTTGTTGCTTGAAATTGGATCTTTTTGTTTTTCCCAGATATTTTTTCATAATACTTTTAAAGTTTCCAGAATATAGTAGGTACAAGATAATTGTGCTTTTCAATTTCAACACATAACCTAAAGTTTACCATTTTAACCATTTTTAAGTGTATAGTTCCCTAGTGTGAGGTTATATTCAGACTGCTGTAGATCTTTCTATTTTTTAATTTTTTAACTAAAAAAAAAAAAAAATAAGCCGAGGCTGTGACCGAGATTGAAAGTAGGTAAAAATAACTAGAATGTGCAGCAGGGTTAATGTGAGTACCTACGATTCCAAAGTTGAAAGGAAATCCAAAGAGGGAGCAGTCACTTGTGGATGGGGATGTCATTGGGGGGTCCTTGGCACCTGGAAATGTCCTTTCTCTAAAAGGTTTCGGATGAAGCCACCGGCTCAGAGCATGCTCACTGCCCACTCCCATCTGGGTTATAAAATTGTTGCAGCTTTTCAACTCCTACAGAGCGTGGCTTTCATGTTTGGGAACGAATCACATCTTTTGCTTAGCGATAGAAAATAATTCATGCTATTTGGTAAATGACTGAATGAAATGGAGTCACCCAGGCAGGTCGGTGTGGCTCTGAGGCTCCGCGGCTGGTCCATGTGCCTCCTCAGACGCAGCTCCGCCAGTCTCATATCATAACTGCCCCGGTCCCTGCTGAGTCAGTAAGTTCCTGACCCCATGTCCCACGTGCCTGCCCACATGTGCTCCTTAGCCTCCCCCACCCCCAGTGGTAATTACAGGGAAGATAAGAACTGGCTACTATATAATTTTATAATCAATGTATCAATTTAAAAAACGATTAGAGATATATCATCTTAATGACCGACAGTGGGCTGCATTCTGAGCCCCCCTTTATGGGGAGAGGATGTACATAGAGATGATGTAACAGAAAGTAGCTCTACTGCAGAGAAATGAGGTGGGAAATCTACTGGTAATGAAATAACATACCCCGGGAGCGTCATCTCCCTGTCCCTGAGTTTTTAATTCGGTTCAGGTTGCCTTATGACTTTAATCCACTAGATGGTGCTGTCCACCAGTTTATCTGCCAGATGCCATAAGCACTGCGCTGAACCCAATTTTGAGACTTGAAAGCTACAGGGCAGGAGTTCCTTAGAAATAACTTATCGGTTAAAAAATAAATACACTAAAGATCCCCTTGGGTACAAAATGCCTACGAAGGTCCCAGGCCTCTTAGCTGCAAGGCTCTGCTTGCCCCAAGGAAGCCAGGGATGTGAGGGCTTCGTGGTTTCCCGGAGGTGGACGGAAGGCATGGAGGACAGGCTAGGAGGCGCCATAGAACAGCTTCCCGAAGTTTCAGTGAACCGTGCCACTGCCCGACAGTGCGTCTCAGGTCTGTGCGCTTTAGTCCCCGTTGCCGGCCCACCCTGGACGTGAGGACCGGGACGCGGAGGCATCGCCCCCATTCCCGGGGTGGGCGCGCGGCGCTGCGGCGGTGCGTCTGGGGAAGGCCGTCCCCTGGAAGTCATAAAGCCACACTGGGATGTTACTGTTCCTGACCGGGGCTCGGGTTTCAAGGCCTCAACCCGGGTCTGAGCCCCGAGGCCCGAGTGGGCAGGACGGAGCGCGCATTCCTACGGGAAGGTTGTCGGGGCAGCTTTTGCAGCAAGGGAGAGCCCGGCCTTTCTGCGGTTTCCCTGGCCGGGACCCGCGGCGGCCCGCACGCTCTCCCTTCCTTTCTTCTCACTGCCGTTGTCCCCTCTCTCTCTTATCAGGAGCTTGATTTTCACCTGTTCTGTGACCTCCGGCCAGAACAGTCTGCCACTTTATCTCTTTTACAATTGTCCTTTTCAAGGTTTCCTCTAACATATTTCGGGGCGTGGGGAGGTATAGGGGCTGACTATTTCAGATGCACAAAGAATCAAAGGGCCGTGATGACCAGCCCCTTCACGCCGATGACCTCCTCTCACCCTGGAAGTGGGGGGCAGGGGGGTCACGGAGGCTGGGGACGGGGCGCCCCTTCCTGCTAGACCGCCGAGCTGACGAGATGCAGGGTGCCCGCTCTCCCCAGACCACCCTGGGGTGCGTCCACCCGCATTAATATCAGCGTTGCCATGGCGACGCCCCTCCGCTCCCCGGGAAGGAGCCGCTGACACATTTAGGAGAGGAATTGAAGCAAACTCGCCACCCACCCGCGTTCCTGTGCGGTCTTCCCCAGCGCCGCCTGTCCCGGGCCGCGTGCCCTTTCTCCTGGCCGAGGGACCTCGGCGACCTCACTTCGGCTGCTTTCCAAAACTGATTTTACTTACTTACTTACTTACTTACTTACTTACTTACTTACTTACTTACTTATTTATTTAACTAGACTCCGCACCCAGCACACAGCCCAGAGCCGGGCTTGAACCCACCGCCCTGAGATCAAGACCTGAGCTGAGATTAAGAGTCTGACGCTTAAAGGATGGAGCCCCCCAGGCTCCCCTTTGATTTTACTTTTCAAGTTGAAGAAGGAGGGAGGTGTGAGGCGCGGGAATGAGTATGAACAGCTTGTACAATATGCGGTGAATTCCCCAATGTAAGTAGAGTCATCAGAAGAGTCAACTGATTGTGTTCATTTCATTTAACCAGAGATGTCAGAGATAGAGAGAGAGAAAGAGAGACAGAAAGAGAGAGGGAGACACGTGACTGACAGGTGACGGACAGGGGAAGCTGGACAGATGGACTTCATACTCCAGTTTATTTTTCGTATCTGTAAAGGTAACCCAAAGGCACAATTTATTAGTTTACTTCATAGAGAAATCCTAGTAAAAGTGAGCTGTTTGCTTTTTGGGGTAAAATGAGCTATAGATCCTCCTTGAGTGTGCGATGTCTCAGCCAGGTACTTTGCCCCGGGGGAAGCAGGCAGTGGGAAGGGG